TTGCCAGCATCATCGGGGTGAAGGCGCTTCACCGGCAGACATCAGTGACATCATCCACTCCACGGAAAAGGGTGACTGGAACAAGCTCTGCATCCTTGACATGTTCCTGGGCTGCATCGCCAAAGCACTCACCGTGCAGCTCAAAGCCAAAGGCACCACCATCTCTGGCACGGCCGGCATGGCTGCGGGAAAAGGGGTCACTACCGTCACCCTGCCTATGATCTTCAACTCCAGGTAAGTCCATGCCTCCAACATTTCCTTAGATTATTAAACAACATGTATTTTGTTTGATTTCTTATTGCCTTTTTTTTTTTTGCCATTCTCAGCTACATTCGCAGAGGTGAGAGCCACTGGTGGATGAAGGGGTCGACTCCTCCTCAGATAGCAGAGATCATCATAAAGCTGGTTAAAGACATGGCAGCTGTGAGTTCCTGTCGTTTAAATCTTTACCTATAGATGTCTACAAGCAGAATTAGATTTTGAACCAAATTTGCCGTCTCATTCGATGTTATTTGTTGAAAGAGCACCTCTTAGACAGTTATTTTTTTTGTTTCAGGGACACCTTTCGGATGCTTGGTCCAGAGTCACCAAAAATGCAATAGCTGAGACCATCATAGCGCTGACCAAAATGGAGGAGGAGCATCGGTCGCCTGTACGCTGTATCGCCACAACAAGGGTATGGAGCCAATTCAAATGAAGTCGTTACGTGAAAGCATAAATCTACGTTTAGAAATGATGTATAATACCTAAACAGATAATCATGTATCGTGTCCCGTTCTGTTTTGCAGCTGTGGCTGGCTTTAGCTTCACTGTGCGTGCTGGATCAGGACCACGTGGACAGGTTGTCATCTGGACGCTGGATGGGCAAAGATGGGCAGCAGAAGCAGATGGTGAGAGTGACAGCACAGAATGAGAGCATCATTGTGAGAAAAACAATTGGGACGGCTGATCAGAGGAATGACAAAATTCATTTCACGCTCTTGTATCCACAGCCCATGTGTGACAACCACGATGACGGGGAGACGGCAGCCATCATCCTGTGTAACATGTGCGGCAACCTCTGCACCGACTGCGACCGCTTCCTCCACCTGCACCGCCGCACACGCTCCCACCAGAGACAGGTAAGAGTTGGATGGCACACCTCCAACTTTGTCAGCATGATAAAGACTTCCAATTAACAGCTGATTATTCAATAGTATAAAACGATGAGCTGGCGCTAAATCGAATCTTCTTTTTACGCTTTCAGGTGTTTAAGGAGGAAGAGGAGGCCATAAAGGTAGATCTCCATGAAGGCTGCGGGAGGACAAAACTTTTCTGGCTCATGGCTCTGGCAGACTCCAAGACTATGAAGGCCATGGTGGAGTTCAGGGAGCACACAGGTAACTTAGCAACAGGGACAGGAACAACACTGCGTTTTTAAGAATGTATGCAATGAATGCAAGTTTTGTAATTTCTTTAATATCGATGTCACTTTAACCTCCTCAATATCCTCAAAGCTTTCCAAACTGATGTTTTTTCCACTCCGACACGGCTCTGTTGTTCTTTCAGGTAAACCAGCCTCCAGCAGCTCAGACGCCTGCAGGTTCTGTGGTACCAGAAATGGAACTGAGCTGTCTGCGGTAGGCAGCGTCTGCTCAGACCCAGACTGTCAGGTACTTAAAAATACTGGTGACTATTATCGAACTAACACTGCTAGACATCCTTATAGTCAATTACATTTGTGCCCAGTAGGCTGCTTTTTATAACAAAGAAGGTAAAGGTGTTAAAATATGTATGTTTTTGTATTAAATTAGTACACACACTTTTGTTTAAAAATACAACAATAAACAGGCCTTGAGAACTCAATGACATTTTTGCTAACATGTATGTAAGCCTTTTGTCTGTTTTCATTTATTTCATTTATAAGCAATTGGATTCTTTTGTAATGCTACACGTTATTAAATAAACAGAAAGCAGATGCATAGGTGCTTACTGAACTTGTACGTGATGTGAATCCTAGGGAGATAGAGGAATGAGAAAAAGATTTGAACTTTTGCTGAGTAAAAAAATAAATGTTTGTTTCTCTTTAAAGGCTTTAAATGTGATTTTTCACACTTAAATATAATAGAACTCAAGTTAATCCTCTGAAAGTAACTCTGTGAGTCATGACTGTCTACAATGGGTGTAACACCCGAGTCCCACTGTCTGTGATGTTTTCAGAGTCCTATCTATCAGAGTTGTTTAATTGAGGGACTAGAGAAAAGAAGAATAACATACTGTACTCACTGCTTAACTGTGTTTCTAGATCACGCTCATTTCAGGTAAATTTACATGCAGTGTGAAGATACGAGCATAATAAACAACAATGCAGCGCAAGTTGTTTTGGTTTCATTCTGGTGCTCAAGGGCGACATCTGCTGGATGAAAAAATCGCATATAAAGCCTTTAAAGGAACAGTCTGTGGTGGATAGTGTAGTGGTTAGGGGATGAGATGCTTCCACTTACTTCAGAGCATAACAAATACCTCCACAAGACGCATATTTTGCAACATAGAGTTACATAGTGAAGTATATATTCCATACGTGATGTACTTTGTTAGCCTCACTGGTTCCTCTCATATCTACCTCCTCAGGAGTATGCTAAACTGGCGTGCAGTAAAACTCATCCCTGTGGACACCCCTGTGGAGGAGTGAAGAACGAGGAGTCCTGCCTCCCATGTCTGCACGGCTGCGACAAAAACACTGGCTGTCTGAAACAGGACGCAGATGACATGTGTATGATCTGCTTCACCGAGGCTCTCTCCGCTGCTCCTGCAGTTCAGGTAGCTTAAAAATAGAACCGATTGGTTTCCATTAGCTGGACGATTTTCAGTTACTTCTACTCTCGTTTTAATGTTTGAACAATGTTTCTTGCCCTCAGCTGGACTGCACTCACGTGTTCCATCTTCAGTGTACTCGTCGTGTTCTTGAGAACCGCTGGCTCGGCCCAGAATCACATTTGGGTTCATGTTGTGTCCCATTTGCAAGGTAAGATGTTACCTTAGCTGCTCTGTCTGAAGAGATTAACAGACAACAGAGACATTGTTTCCACCATGCCCTGAAGCAGAATGAGCTCAGTTTACTTTAGCTCCTCTGACTGTGCAGTTTTTGACTGCTTTGTTCACTGTCATTTCTTTGGATTTCATTTGACACACACACAGAAAACTCAACAGAAATACCTTCATGACCTTAGGCTCATCTGTTTTTTTGTTTGTTTGTTTGTTTGTTTGTTTGCCCCAGAACAAAATCAATCACTCGGTGATAAAGGACCTGCTGGACCCATCAAGGAGCTGTATGAGGATGTGAGGAGGAAGGCTCTGATGAGGCTGGAGTATGAGGGTCTGCACAAGAGCGAGGCAATAACTACTCCAGGAGCTCGTTTCCATAACGACCCTGCAGGCTTTGCCATGAACAGATATGCATACTATGTCTGCTTCAAGTGCAAGAAGGTACACTGTGACTGTGATACTTTTTTGTTTGTTGTTGATGTGATGTGTTTAGGTGTTCAGGGTTTAACGTTTCCTCTTCTTTTCAGGCGTATTTCGGGGGGGAGGCTCGCTGCGATGCGGAGGCTGGACAGGGAGATGACTACGACCCCAGTGAGCTGATCTGTGGAGCGTGCTCAGACGTCTCCAGGGCTCAGGTTGGTTGGATGACGGTGGCTAATTTAAGAAAGAATTTGACTTTTTTTGGGAGAGGGGAAACAAAACATATTCTCTTTCTTACCAATAGTTAAATGAGAATAAATTACTCACCTCTTGCATCTACATGCTCAATGTTACGATGGAATAACTACTTAATATTTTCTTACATCCTTTGGCACTACTCTCATTCCCTTCATCGACACATACAGTTTTTGCATTTACTGTACACGCTCTTTGTGGGTATAAGTTTAATGCTATATAATATTAGATAAATACTTGTAATTAAGACAAGTTGGTAGTGGTGAAAACATGCATAAGATAACAGCATAAAATAGGTATGTTTAAAGAAGTTACAAATAAAAACATACATTTCTTACATGGTGTAAAACTCTTGCCACTGTTGATCGTCAGGCCATTAGCCTAGCTTAGCACAAAGACTGGAAACAGGGGGAAACAGCTAGCCTGGCTCCCTACAGGGTCATTGACCTCCTTGAGTCGTCTCATGTTTTCACTGCTGTTCCTTCCACACATGAACTCCTGACTTTTTTTCAACATAATTTCAGGTCTTTCAGGCTCTGATTTTATCAGGAACACATTCGCCTCACAACCCGGAGATCCTCTGTGTCTGACACACTCTCATAACTTCAAATACACCTTAGGTTTCGCTACGGGGGTGGATAGTGTGTGTGCAGAAAGAGGTGACTGTTTCTGGGTTAATGTCACTATGATGTGTTTATGGACATTTACACAACACAAACAAAAATGTGGAAAACTTTAAGTTGACAACTAAGACGATCAGCAGAGAGTATTAAACAAGGAGAGTCTGCTCAACGTGAAAAATGTCAACGCTTTGCCCACTCCCCCATGGTGAATGCTCCTGATTATTACCTCACCCTGACTATACACAGATGTGTGTGTGTGTGTGTGTGTGTGTGGGGGGGGGGGACAATAGTTTGAATGAAATCAGGGAGGCTCTTTGCATTTACACACGCACCTGTCCTTTTAAAAAGTCAGGACATGTTCAGTAGTGAAGTGCATGTGTGAAAGGAGTTTTTGACTCCAGACTGTTTAGATCCAAACTGGTATCATCTCAGTATCTACTAGAAGAAATATACTTCACACTAGTTCATCTGTATTTTTTTTTTATTGCTGCTTTTCTGTACACAAGTAGAATCCTGCTCCTGATGGTTCTTCTTTTTGTTCCCTCAGATGTGCTCAAAGCATGGCACAGACTTCCTGGAGTATAAATGCCGGTACTGCTGTTCTGTGGCTGTTTTCTTCTGCTTTGGCACCACACACTTCTGCAACGCCTGCCACGATGATTTTCAGAGGATGACCAGCGTCCCGAAGGAGGAGCTGCCCCATTGTCCTGCAGGTGATGAATGATCCTGTTTACTACGCACTCAGGGAAAATGTTGAATTATACGCACCACACGTCACTTCCTGAAATAACTTCTCAGTAATAACTAAGTGAGGTGTTCTTGTATTTTCTGACACAGGGCCCAAAGGCAAGCAGCTGGAGGGAACCGAGTGCCCTTTGCATGTGGTTCACCCACCAACAGGGGAGGAGTTTGCCCTGGGCTGTGGGGTGTGCAGAAACGCCCACACCTTCTAAACAAAAAGACAAAGACTTAAACTGAAAACCAGTTCGTCTACTGTGATTTCTGGCTGATGCTGAAGCTCAGCGGTGAAAGCTTGGCTCTTGCATTCGTCAAGTCTCCTGGACACTGGACCAGGTTTCTGCTCTCACGTCAAGAGTCCTCAGGTCTGCTCTTCTACCAACATCAGTATCCGGGCTCAGCTACGAACACGAGCTGTGGCTCCTTTTGGATGCAGAGTAACCTGAATTTAAAAAAAAAAAAAGAAACAATAGAAATTTAAAAAAAGAAGAAAAAAGAAAACTTGTGACGTGTTTGCATGCGGCCGTTGTATTCCCTCGGCTTCTATAGACGTTGCACACCTCCTGATCACTGACGTGTAACATTGAATATGAAATGAATTTGCTTTAAGGCAACCGTGGCTCAGAGAGGGTTTAAAAAAATAAGGAACAGGCCGTATTTCCAGCTTCCTAACTATACATTTAAAATATTGTTGTATGTAAACTTTTTCGTAATCTTGTACAGTATTCTCCACTGTCAAGTGCATCATGGGTTGACGGACAAAAAAAAAGATACGTCGGTGGATAAGACTGTTAAGAATATTATGATTGGGAGGAAAATAGTGTACGATTTATCTAATCCTGTATATAATGATACTATTCAAAAATAGCTGTATTCCGAAGTTGCTACTCTTCACTTCAGTTTTGTTTGATATTCTGGGTTATGTTTTGAGCCAGAACTTTTAATGAAGTGCAATACTGGGTGTGCCTCCTATTTTGCAGCTGTTTAACCTATGGAATGTATGTCAATAAAGCCACTGTACATTTTTATACAGTAGACAGTCGTGATTCCCCCTCTTCTAAATGTCAGATTTTTTTTTTCTGTTGTCTGGAAATGAGAAGGAGGAGCCTGGCCTGCAGTGAATGAAGGTGGATGTAAATTCTATTAGCAGCTCTGTCAAAATAGTACCAAAATCTACAGTAATACAAAAACAAACAGAAGACCTCACAGTGAGACTGATTACAGCTGAATGATTGGAGGGGGCCAGTCTTCACACCAAATAAAATTTGTGCACCTGTAATGCTTTTCCCTTGTAGGAGGCCGGGGGGGGAAGGGGTGTCAGAAAAACAGAGTGATGGAAAAAAAGCAGCTGCTGTTATATAAAAAGCTTAATACTTGTGAATCTGCTCTGTAATATCTGTGGTGGATGGAGTTGAATGGTAATAAACCAGGTTCTCTGTTTCGCAAAGTATACAGTGTGTCTTTTAATGAGTGTTGACATTTTTATTTAACTATATACAACAGCTGTGGGTCAAGTGATTCTTTTATATAGAAGTATAATGGTGCCAAACCTAGTAGAAATGTTTGAATGGTTCATGTTCGCATCAATTCTGTAAATACTTTTGCTGTGCAGCTCTGCAGAGACTAGTAACACACGAGGATGTATTACTCCAGGTGCCAAACTGCTAAACTAGTTGTCAGGCCTCCTCCAGATTCTCCTGATTAACAACATATTCTTATCCAGAAAAGATCAGCAAAAAAAATCAAATTCCACCAGATGACACATTTGTCAGCAACATCTCAGCTTTAAACTAGGCTTCTGTTATTTTCTTCCACATTCCCATGACTCTGATGTGTCATCTATATGCCTACCATCTTGATGTGTGGTTTAAATGTTTCACTTCATGTGCATTTAATTATATTCCGATACTTTTTGCTCGATCTATATGTTTTTGACTCTCCATAATGATTTTGAACTTTGGGTGTAGGCTCATCATGTGGCAAATAAAATATATTTACTTAGCTTGCTGTAAAAATCACAAGGCAAGACATTTACAGTTTATTAAAAAGGTCATTTGGATATTTCATTTGCAGATCAGTTGTTTATTCTTTCAGTTGTAAACAGTAAGTGATGTAGCTTGCTACTTGTTTGTTCATAAGAAAATTCTGCTTAGGGCCCTTCATTGCCTGTGGGACGTCCTGATAATGTGCAAAGGTTTGGAGTCTTTTACTTTTAAAAGTTGATATGATATTCATGTCATTGTCAATGATATCCGAGACGTTTGTAAGATAAGATAATCCTTTATTTATCCCACAATGGGGAAATTTACAGTGTTACAGCAGCAAAGAGGAAAGATTGCAGACAAAGAGTGAACACAGTACAATGTAAATAATGATAAAAAAGAGATACTAAAAATAGATAAAAAAAAAAAAAGAAATACATCAGCTATTGACAAAAGTTTAGTCAGTAGAAGCAATCTATCCACGTAGAACTAGAAAGTACCGATTTTCAGTTTGGATAACGAAGTCTAAAACATCAGTCGAAAAGAATAAGTAAGTATTTTCTGAACATCGTGAGTCATCATTCATACATAGACGATCTTTACTCAACAGCCATTTCGCATTGCAATTTCCCCCATGATGCACCTCGGCTGTCACAACAACAACACTTCGCCATTTCAGATTTGGGAGGGGAGGGGAGTTCCTGTGAAACTCCCGCGAAAGAATTAGGTCAGCTGAGCCGAGGTTTCCTGCATCTGGTCGTTTCTTCATTGAAAATATCCCTTAACGCTGTCTAGTCGTCTCTCCGTGTTCCGATGAGTTTAGTTTGGATGGTACGGATGAATTTATCCAGCGCTGTCCCGGGTTGAATTCAGTCAGAGTCGGTAGTCGGATTTCTCCGCTCACAGCTCCGGAGCTAGCTGAGTGTAAACAACAAGGTAGGCTTGGGTGGCTCGTTTTTTGTTGTAGATAGCTTAACATTAAAAGATGGCAGCTTTACATTAGCTCTTGCCCAATCTGTAAATATAGTCTTGAATATTATTTGAGTGTCATATCATTTGATATCGCTGGTTTTCTAAGTAGCTTAGCGTAAAACATGCTAACTAAGCTACCGCTAATACACTGCGCTACTTAATTCAACTTCTGAATGAGTTTTTAGCAATGTCATCATTAATGCCAGTTTGACAATTTGATCATAGTTTTTGTGCATCTCCTTTAGGAACACAGTCTGCTATTTAGTTTTAAAGTAAATGTTTTCCGTTGAGTATACAGTATATGTATTTTTATATTGTTTATGTTCTGTCTATGCACTTTAACTTATGTTAGTAGTGTCCATTTACGACTCTGCTTTTGCACATTTCTATATTTATTTTGCACATTTGCATTTAATCTTCCACATTTATTTTGCACATTTGCATTTAATCTTCCATATTTATTTTGCACATTTGCATTTAATCTTCTATATTTATTTTGCACATTTGCATTTAATCTTCCATATTTATTTTGTTTATTTGCATTTAATCTTCCATATTTATTTTGCACATTTGCATTTAATCTTCCATATTTATTTTGTTTATTTGCATTTAATCTTCAATATTTATTTTGCACATTTGCATTTAATCTTCCATATTTATTTTGTTTATTTGCATTTAATCTTCAATATTTATTTTGCACATTTGCATTTAATCTTCCATATTTATTTTGTTTATTTGCATTTAATCTTCCATATTTATTTTGTTTATTTGCATTTAATCTTCCATATTTATTTTGCACATTTGCATTTAATCTTCCATATTTATTTTGTTTATTTGCATTTAATCTTCAATATTTATTTTGCACATTGGCATTTAATCTTCCATATTTATTTTGCACATTTGCATTTAATCTTCCATATTTATTTTGCACATTTGCATTTAATCTTCTATATTTATTTTGCACATTTGCATTTAATCTTCCATATTTATTTTGTTTATTTGCATTTAATCTTCCATATTTATTTTGCACATTTGCATTTAATCTTCCATATTTATTTTGTTTATTTGCATTTAATCTTCAATATTTATTTTGCATATTTGCATTTAATCTTCCATATTTATTTTGTTTATTTGCATTTAATCTTCAATATTTATTTTGCACATTTGCATTTAATCTTCCATATTTATTTTGTTTATTTGCATTTAATCTTCCATATTTATTTTGCACATTTGCATTTAATCTTCCATATTTATTTTGTTTATTTGCATTTAATCTTCAATATTTATTTTGCACATTTGCATTTAATCTTCCATATTTATTTTGTTTATTTGCATTTAATCTTCCATATTTATTTTGCACATTTGCATTTAATCTTCCATATTTATTTTGTTTATTTGCATTTAATCTTCAATATTTATTTTGCACATTTGCATTTAATCTTCCATATTTATTTTGTTTATTTGCATTTAATCTTCCATATTTATTTTGCACATTTGCATTTAATCTTCCATATTTATTTTGTTTATTTGCATTTAATCTTCAATATTTATTTTGCACATTTGCATTTAATCTTCCATATTTATTTTGTTTATTTGCATTTAATCTTCCATATTTATTTTGCACATTTGCATTTAATCTTCCATATTTATTTTGTTTATTTGCATTTAATCTTCAATATTTATTTTGCACATTGGCATTTAATCTTTCATATTTATTTTGCACATTTGCATTTAATCTTCCATATTTATTTTGCACATTTGCATTTAATCTTCTATATTTATTTTGCACATTTGCATTTAATCTTCCATATTTATTTTGTTTATTTGCATTTAATCTTCCATATTTATTTTGCACATTTGCATTTAATCTTCCATATTTATTTTGTTTATTTGCATTTAATCTTCAATATTTATTTTGCATATTTGCATTTAATCTTCCATATTTATTTTGTTTATTTGCATTTAATCTTCAATATTTATTTTGCACATTTGCATTTAATCTTCCATATTTATTTTGTTTATTTGCATTTAATCTTCCATATTTATTTTGTTTATTTGCATTTAATCTTCCATATTTATTTTGCACATTTGCATTTAATCTTCCATATTTATTTTGTTTATTTGCATTTAATCTTCAATATTTATTTTGCACATTGGCATTTAATCTTTCATATTTAATTTACAACGATATACGACTCTGTTTTTGCACATTTACATTTAATCTTCCATATTTAATCCTCCTATTTAAGACTAGTAATGCTTAGTTAAATCCAAAGTGGAAAGTGGAATATTGTGTTTTCTGTTAATATTGTGTGTTTGGACAACCTGCTGCTGTAACGCCACAATTTCCCAGTTTGGACTCAATAAAGTAATTCTATTCTAATCGTAATCATGTAAGTGCATAGACTGATTCAAATTCTCAAGTATAGGAAGATAAACATTAACATAAAAAACGCTGACTTTACACAAAGTAGGAGAGTTAAGTGGGTAAGAAACTCACAACACATTTAAGTTTGATATTAAGCGTTTTGTGACACGTCGTCTGTAAACTCATTGACAAACACATATGCACAAAATTACATAATATATACCACTGTATACCAAACCAAATTTGACAAGATCCTATACAACTAATGCAACAAAATTTTGTTCTAATCGGCACTGTAAAGTACAAGTTTGAATGACAATAAAGAAAGTCTAAGTCTATACCCAGGGCTGATTGTAATAGAGTAACTATGAAAGAGCCAAATTCACAACACCAAAGATATGTATAATGACAGTAGTGCTCATAATATTATTATTAGGAATGTGTGATACATTCATAGAGATAAATTAGCCGGTTTTGATTTTCAGTCTTGGTGTGTCATGCCTGAGTGTAGTCATCATATGCCTCCTTGTCAGGGTTTTATATGCTTTATTATGTATATTGTGGACCTTGTAGCTATTTCAAAAGTCCATTCATTCTGCTTTAATCAAAGACTGAGGAGTGTGAATCTGACACATCACATCTCCATGTTGATAAGCACAGGATCTTTTTGATACTGAAATGATCACTAACTTTTTTACCACATTGTTATATGATGAGTATATGATGAAGTAGACAATACTGTTGTCAGAAGAAAAATGTGTTTAAATCTTATTAGCTAGTATCTATTCTAAAAAGTAGGAAAGCACTGTTTTCAAAGTCCATTAGTATCCTAATTAGGTGCATTACTGCAAATAGGGTATTTGTGTTTGGATTGGCATCTCTTTAAAGTGGCTGTCAAGATCTTCTTTCACTCCAGATGGGATTTAACTGAATGGATTTGTTAATCCATAAAAAACTCTTTTGTAATAGTGCAGCCTGTGTTTTGCCACGCTGGTCTAAAACAAACATGTCCTCTGCGTTTTTTTAAAGCATGAAGAGGGTGAAAGGAGGAGAGGAGGGCAGCATCAGCCCCTCCAGTGAGAGCCCACCAGAAGCCAGCAAGAAGGTGCGCAAACAGACGAGCGAGGAGTCTGAGGCTCAGGCTGTGGTCAGTGAGTCAACAGAATGCGATTGGGCTAGACTACCGCAGGAGCTGCTGCTTCACATCCTCCAGTACCTCCCACTGTTGGACAGGGCTTATGCGTCCCAGGTGTGCCGCGGCTGGAACCAGGCATTCCACATGCCTGAGCTGTGGCGGTGCTTTGAGTTTGAGCTTAACCAGCCAGCCAGCTCTTACCTGAAAGCCACACATCCAGACCTCATCAAGCAGATCATAAAAAGGCACTCCAACCACCTGCAGTATGTCAGCTTCAAGGTAAGGGGGCATACGCTACACGCTATGTTTTTGACACGCTATAGTCTGTGTCAAAAACAAAAACAGGATTCTTGGATTAAGTGTTTACAGTTTGTAATCCTCAGCTGTTTTCATGTTCATAAGATAATCTTTGTTTTTAATGGCAGGTTGACAGCAGTACAGAGTCTGCAGAGGCAGCATGTGACATTCTTTCACAGCTGGTGAACTGTTCTCTGAAGACCTTGGGGCTCATCTCCACAGCCAGGCCCAGTTTCATGGAGGTCCAGAAGGTAAAATGATCATAAAACATGTTATGGGGGGGGTCCTTGTCCTTGGTGTCCCTTTAACCAGATAAGAAGTTTAAAATTCACCGGAGCTGTTGTGAAAATAGTGAAATGTATTATATGCTGCTTTTTCCATGGTTTGAACCCTTAAGGCTGGGCAAAAGTTGCTAAAGAGGTTGTTGTTTTCTTATCAGCGTAACAAACTGAAAACAGCAGTGTTTGTTCTCATGCATGGCCAAGGACAAGGACGTAATTACTTTTAAGCCTGGAGAGACGGGATGTTATTTTTGCTATTTTTATTTAGCCTTGCTTTGTGTAGACGTTGTGTCTCTCATCTTGTCCTGACATCCTTTGTATGAACTCTGGAAAGTTATACTGCCTTGGTAGTCTATCACCAGTGAATGAGAGGACATGACGTAAAGTCATGTCCGCATTGAAACTTGAAACTTTCACACACACATACTCACAGGTGCAGCGTATTCATCCTCAGCCTCTTGATATCCTGGGTTTTGGGACACTGTTTTTGAGGAAAACAGAGTGCGGCTGAACCGTTCCATATTTACAACTATCTGTCACTATCCAATGCGGCTTCTTTTTATTTTATTTAGCTATTTAACTGCAGTTGAATGGGTTCTTGAGGTCATGGGATGTGACCATCATCTTTCAACAAAGTCTATTTTCCTAAAAGCTTTGCTCTTAAGGCTTTGAAAGTTTGACTTCTACCAAAATACTTTACTCTCATACTCTATTCTCAAAATAGAGGCCATTTTCTCTTTTTCTTTGCCTCCATTAAATCATAAACTAACCCAATACAGCCGAGGGCAGCTGAGACAAAGGAGGACTGTTTTTGATGTTGGGACTATCTGGATATTCCAACATAGTCATCAGCATGATAATGTGAACAAATGTTTGTTTGTTCTCCACTTTGTTCAATCATAGAAACACCAACTATTCAACATCAGCCTCCACAGTAAACATAGAGGTGAAGTGAGCTCAAAGTGAAACTTAAAGACTTTAAAGTGATGCTGTCTTAGATTACCTCGGCTTTTGTTTGGTGTACCTCTGAAAGTAGCAACTAAGTCAGACAGAATTGATCACAAAATGCTTGATAATAAAAAGGCACCAGACGTAGGTATGTGGCAGGTTATGTATTAGGAAGGCATGATTTGAGGGACTCAAATGAGTTCATTCATTGTATATTGTAATCTAGTTTTCGGCAAATCATGAATTCTACAGCTCAAGAAAAACGTGAAACCAACTCCAGTTATTGATGTTTTATTGTTTTTTTCCAAAAACCTGAGGAGGCTCAGGCTGCTCCATTTTCACTTTGTTTAATACGTTTGCCACATTTACGATCATTAAGTTGTCTCAGCTGAAAGTGTCAGACCTGAAGGGCCTGCATGACTTAAAACATTTCAACTATAAACCTCCAAATACATTCATTTCTAAATGATCTAAATGCAGATTAATTAATCATAGTCTACTCTACATAGATATACTAACAGTGATTCTGAGCTATGTGTAATTCCTGACATCCATGCTGTTAATCTGTTGGTGTTGAAAGTTGCTTTGAGACTCTGGACAGTATTCAAATTCATTGTGCTCTCTCTCTTTTTTTTTTAATTCCCCACAGTCTCATTTCATCTCAGCTCTGACTGTGGTGTTCGTCAACTCCAAATCGCTGTCTTCTTTGAAGATCGACGACACGCCAGTGGATGATCCGTCTCTGAAGGTCCTGGTGGCCAACAACAGTGACACCCTGAAACTGCTGAAGATGAGCAGCTGCCCTCACGTCTCGCCTGCAGGTACGAAGACTCCTGTGAATGTTTCACACCTGAAGTCCACAGTATCTACCCTGTCACGTTTTTTGCTGTTGTGATTGTTGGATGATTTCCAAAGCTGAATATTTGAAGTCACACGTATGTTAAAGGCTTTATATGCAATTTTTTTTGATCCAGCAGATGTCACCCTTGAGCACCAGCATCAAACCAAAACAACTTGTGGTGCATTGTTGTGTTAGCATGCTAATGCTAGTGATCTTTATTATGCTCGTATCTTCACACTGCATGTAAATTGACCTGAAATGAGCGTGATCTAGAAACACAGTTAAGCAGTGAGTACAGTATGTTATTCTTCTTTTCTCTAGTCCCTCAATTAAACAACTTTTATACGTGAGGGGAGGAGTCAGCCGGCCGTCCTGGCGATGTAAACAAACTGAAGATAGGACTCTGAAAACTCTGAAAACATGACAGACAGTGGGACTCGGGTGTTACACCCATTGTAGACAGTCATGACTCACAGAGTTATTTTCAGAGGATAAACTTGATTTCTACATTTAAGTGTGAAAAATCACATATAAAGCCTTTAAAGTTTCATTCCAGTCTTTGTGATTTCCCTTTTTTGAGTCACATGGCTGTAAGTGTTTTCCATCCAGTGACTCATTTAGAGCCTGTAATTATTTAGTCTGCCTGCACACAGAGACTGCATGATACATTATAAATGAACTGTTGCATGTTTATCTGGTTCTTAATCTGAGACAGACATTTTCCTAGAACGGTTTTTGGAAGTGAGCTATGATAATGACTGCTTATTTAACTACATAATGTCTGGGAAGTTTAAAAGCTCTTTATCTGGCTATGGGGAGCTATTATTTCCTTCAGCCAGTTGCCATGTTTTCAGGAATTGTTTAATTATTATAGATAAGTAAAAACTGGATTCCATGATAAAAAACAATATCTCTGTATTTGTAGGGATCCTTTGTGTGGCCGACCAGTGTCATGGACTGAGAGAGCTGGCACTGAACTACCACCTCCTGAGCGATGAGCTCCTTCTGGCCCTCTCCTCGGAGAAACACGTCCACCTGGAGCACTTGAGGATCGACGTGGTGAGCGAGAACCCCGGCCAACACTTCCACACCATCAAAAAGAGCAGCTGGGACGCCATGGTGAAGCACTCGCCCAAATTCAACCTGGTCATGTACTTCTTCCTCTACGAGGACGAGTTTGGGCCTTTCTTTAACGAGGAGATCCCCGTCACTCACCTCTACTTCGGCCGCTCGGTTAGTAAGGAGGTCTTGGGCCGCGTTGGCCTCCACTGCCCTCGTCTGGTGGAGCTGGTGGTGTGCGCTAACGGCCTGCGCCCCCTGGACGAGGAGCTGATCCGCATCGCCAAGCACTGCACCCAGCTGTCCGCCATCGGCCTGGGCGAGTGCGAGGTTTCCTGCAGCGCGTTTGTGGAGTTTGTAAAGATGTGCGGTCGGAGGCTTTCTCAGCTGTCCATCATGGAGGAGGTGCTTATTCCCGATCACAAATACACCCTGGATGAGATCCACTGGGAGGTTTCTAAGCATCTGGGTCGGGTGTGGTTCCCCGACATGATGCCCACCTGGTAAAGCGAAGCCAAAGAGGCACACGTGATTAGTGATTTGTGGTGTGGAACAATCGTGTTTGCGTTGAAAGTCTCTAAACTCTCTCGCTGTCGTAGAATGTTTGGTGGCAACTGCGAGAGCTTAAACTTGCTGAACTCCTGCGTGTGGAGTGCAGAGTGAGGATGTAAGGTGGCGCCTGACTGCTACACAATGTCATGTCATGACCACAAAAATCTCTGCCTGTCAGCTTCAACGTGGACTGTGGAATCCTACTTTGCTAAATGAGGAGACAGAACGCGCCATGCCGGCTTCTCCAGCTAGTAAACAATCAGCACACAGAGTAGTTCAGGGGAAGATACGACTATAAAAGCAATGTTTATAACTGCAAATTAAGTTATATGGACACTTTAGCTTGGGTATGATTATCTATAATATGAGAGATGTGTGTGTGTGAGAGTATGAAGGTAAATGTATGTGTGCTATAATGTTTTTTAACATTGGGGGGAAGACTAGGTGCACAATTGCATGTAGTTACACTACCACTTGGCCTACTTAAATCCAGATTGCAGCTCTGCATTCTAACAATATATGGCATTGGAGGTTTCCACATGGCTTTATTCCTACATAGTATGCGACAGGCGGTGTTTGTCAGCTGTAGTCGAAAGGAGACTCTTTAAACGTGCAGAGTAGTGGCTGGGTCCTACGCCTATCTGTAAACTAATTTAAAAAGAAAATGCAGCGGATAGGCGTTTGACGGCATCTTGTTTTTCCTCCTAAAGCAGGCTCAATCGTACATTGATAGCAAGAAAAGAGTTGAAAATGTTTGGAAGTCAGCCAGAGAGGGAACCGAAGCGTGTATATAGGTGTCTATCTATGTGATGTGAAGGTGTACAGTGCTGATTGATATCATGGACTTTTATTTTCTCTGTTTTTATGTCCTGCATTGCAAATCACGTTGGCTCTACGAATGAATTATCTCCGTTTTGTACAGTCATAGATTTTGTTCTAAGCACCTTACATGGACACCAAATGATAGTCAGGAAAGATAAAGTCCTTCTGCATGATTGAAACTAGAAGAGCAATCTTTAAAATGCTCCGAATTATCACTGTTCTGGGAGTCTGTTGAGTCAGATACCCATGACAGTATG